TCTGCTTGTCCTTTCAAGTGGAAATTTCCCACCTCAGAAGATTCTGGATGTGGTTCAGAATTCTACCTATGGTCTTTTGCAATGCAAAGGCTCCCCAAGAAGTCTCCTTCACTGGGCAAGCTGTAGCCCCATTTTAGGTATTTCAATCAGTTATAGGCAGAAGATGGACTTACAAGCTTTCTATGGTGATATTTCTGGCTATTTCTTTCTCTCCCTCTCAAGAGTCTATTTTAGAATGCTATGCAAGAGAAACCAAGAGTCAATAGACAGCCAAGCATCTTAACATTATTTCCCCTCTTTCACCCATTTAAACCATGCCTCAATCCCTGTATCCCAGAGCCCTGTTGTTCCAAGGTTGTGCATACATCATTATTTACCTCTGTCCCACTTAGCCCATGCAAACCTACCTAACTGTTCTCCCAACTGCCATGTTCTTCCATTCCTCTCCCCCTTCTTGTGTACTGCACCCCTGCCAGCACCCAAGCTAACCTGTGTCTATTCCCTACCCTGTGCTCCACCTTCCCCTCCCTCCTCTCACCCAATACCCCCACATCCCTGTAACCAGCAAATAATCCCCCACCCCTTTTAGTATGGGTTCTTTTCCTTAGTCTTTTACAGTAGTGGTCCTATGCAGTATTTCTCCTTTTGTGACTGAGTAATTCACTCAGCATAATGTCCTCAAGGTTCATCTATGTTATGCGGTGGCTTGCAGCTTCCTTGTTATTCTTCAAGGCACCGTAACATTCCATTGTGTGTATGTACCACAGTTTATTTATCCTTTCTTCAGTTGATGGGCACTTTGGCTGTCTCCGTGTTTTTGCTATTGTAAATAGTGCTGCTGTGAACATTGGTGTGTATATATCTACTTGTGTTATGGCTCGTATTTCTTGTGGGTAAATACCAAGTAGAGGAATTGCTGGCACACCACCACCACCCCCATATGGATATTATCCTATCACAGACAGCACTGTACTTCAAGATAAGTCTTGAAATATTCTTTTTGATGATGAATGCAACGTCGTTCCTCTTCAATTTGACATTCCAAGCACAGTAAACCATGTGACTGGGCCGATTCCAGTCCATTTCAGCTAAATAATGCCTAGAATATCAATCCTCATGCATTCCATTTCATTTTTGACATCTTCTAATGTTTCTAGATTCATACACCATACAGTCCAAGTTCCGATTACTAATGGATGTTAATAGGTGTTTCTCCTCACTTTGAGTTGTGCCTCTTCAGCAATGAAGGTCCCAAAAGCATTACTCTATTCACGTCATCACAATCCAGTGTAATTTGAGGAGGCAGCTCTTTCCACTTATAATTTGAGTGCCTGCCAACCTGAGGGACTCATTTTTCAGCACTATTATCTGACAAGATTCTGGTGCTCTTCATCATATTTTAATATTCAATATTTATTGCTGACAGTGTCCCACTGCTAGTCATAAGTTTTCAGTGATTAAATATTGGGAAGTAGTCCATCTCTCCCTCTTCCTAGTCTGTCTTCGTCTAGAAGCGCAGCTGAAACCTGTCCATCAGGGGTGAATCTGTTGGCATTTAAAATACTGGCGGCATAGCTTCCAGATTCACAGTAACAGGCAAACCACCATAGTATGACATACTGACAGACGAGTGGTGGACATACATATTACTTCCATGTAATTAAAAATGATCCTTCTGAATTACAGTGATATGGCCACAAGTCAAGGAATTTCAATAACCACCAGAAACTCTTCTCTAGAGTTTTTGGTGAGAATGTGGCCCTGACAAGACCTTGATTTTGAACTTCTATCCTCAAACACTTAGAAATCATAAATTTATGTTGTTTTAATCTCCATTCCCTAAATGATCCTCTTCTCTGAGATCTGAAATAGTTCTAAGAAATAGCAACTATAACATCACCCCATTCTCTAGATCTTTGTTACGTTCTTAACCTCTTCGAGTTTCTATATTTCATGGTCTAACAAATGAAGGCATTAGTTCAAGTGACCCCTTCATGAAGTTCAAAGAGAAAATTCCTTTTGATAGACACTTTTGAGATTTTTCTAGAACACACTAGATCAGGGTTTAAAAAAGTAGACTCCCACCACTCCTCTGCCCTGATACTTAAAAAGCAAATCTCACTGAAAGTAGTTAGGTTTCCGATGAACTCGGGATCTTCAGGTATTTCAGGATTAGTATTCTCATAGACCTGATGGTGCTAAGGTTAAGTACTTGGTTGCAAACCTAAAGATTGGAGGTTTGAACGCATCTACAAGTTCTCTGGTAGCGTAGTGGTTACGAATCGGTCTGCGAATCTTAAGGTCAGCAGTTTGAAACTACCAGCTGTTCCACGGGAGAAAGATGAGGCTTTCTGCTTCCATAAAGATTTACAGCCTGGGAAACCCTGTACAGGGTCGCTATGGGTCGGAACCAACTCGACGGCACTTAACAACAAGTTCTATGGAAAAAGACCCAGTGATCACCTTCCTTAAAGTTTAGAGACAATAAAACCCTATGTGGAAGCAGGGGCAGCAGAAAACAATAGAGGCCGCGCGCTGAGCGAGCGCCTGCTGCCTCTCCACCCCTCCTGAAACGTTCGACTCTGGGCTCCCTCCCGTCTCTCCTGCCTGCCTGCCTGCCATGGCCAACAAGGAAGCAGCCTTTGATGATGCCGCGGAAGAATGGGTGATTAATGAGGAGTACAAAATATGGAAAAAGAACACCCCTTTTCTTTATGATTTGGTGATGACCCATGTCCTCGTCGAGTGGCCCAGCCTGACTGCACAGTGGCTTCCAGATGTAACCAGACCAGAAGGGAAAGACTTCAGCATTCATCTACTTGTTCTGGGAACACACACATCAGATGAACAAAACCATCTTGTGATAGCCAGTGTGCAGCTCCCTAATGATGATGGCTCAGTTTGATGCGCCACACTATGACAGTGAGAAAGGAGAATTTGGAGGTTTTAGCTCAGTTACTGGAAAAACTGAAATAGAAATCAAGATCAACCATGAAGGAGAAGTAAACAGGGCCCGTTATATGCCCCAAGAACCCTTGCATTATTGCAACAAAGACTCCATCCAGTGATGTTCTTGTTTTTGACTACACGAAACACCCTTCTAAACCAGACCCTTCTGGCGAGTGCAACCCAGATCTGTGCCTCCGTGGACATCAAAAGGAAGGCAATGGGGCTTTCTTGGAATCTAAATCTCAGTGGGCACTTGCTTAGTGCTTCAGATGACCATACCATCTGCCTGTGGGACATCAGTGCTGTTCCAAAGGAAGGAAAAGTAGTGGATGCAAAGACCATCTTTACTGGACACACAGCAGTAGTTGAAGATGTTTCTTGGCACCTGCTCCATGAGTCTCTGTTTGGGTCAGTTGCTGATGATCAGAAACTTATGATCTGAGATACTCGTTCAAATAATACTTCCAAACCAAGTCACTCAGTTGATGCTCACACTGTGGAAGTGAACTGCCTTTCTTTCAATCCTTATAGTGAATTCATTCTTGCCACAGGATCAGCTGACAAGACTGTTCTTTGTGGGATCTAAGAAATCTGAAACTTAAGTTGCATTCCTTTGAATCACATATGGATGAAATATTCCAGGTTCAGTGGTCACCTCACAATGAAACCATTTTGGCTTCCAGTGGTACTGATCGTAGGCTGAATGTCTGGGATTTAAGTAAAATTGGAGAAGAACAATCCCCAGAAGATGCAGAAGATAGGCCACCAGAATTATTGTTTATTCATGGTGGTCTCACTGCCAAGATATCTGATTTCTCCTGGAATCCCAATGAACCTTGGGTGATTTGTTCTGTATCAGAAGATAGTATCATGCAAGTGTGGCAGATGGCAGAGAACATTTATAATGATGAAGACCCTGAAGGGAGTGTGGATCCAGAAGGACAAGAGTCCTAGATATGTGTGTACTTGTGATTTTAGACTCCCCTTTTTTCTATCAACCAAGAGATTGATTTTAACACTGGTTTTGAGACAAGACTATGTTTGGCTATCCCTCTATAGGTACCATCAACAGTGCTATCAGCCCAAACAGCGGGTGTTTTCTAAATGTTAACTGGGAGACTTGATTTAGCAAAGCCACAGACTTATATTTAAATTTTCTTCAGGAATTTTCTAAAAACAAACCCAGGTCTGGAGTAGCCACAGAAAGGGGAATACTTATGTGTGGTTATTTTTCTTCTTAAGCTATAATCCCCAGTTTTTCAGATGCATTTTTAAGTAAAGGCTAGAGTGGGTAAGGAATACAGCCAAGGGAGGTAGGTGTCTGAGCCATGAAGTATAATACTGCAAGATGACATTTTTATGAAACGGGAGATTCAAGTCATACAGATTGCTACTCTAAAATCCTCACACCTGACATGCCATGATGCACATTTTTCCTGTGTACACCAGTCTCTCCGTTCCTTCAGTTAAGTAAAAATTTTATTTTCCATGTTCCTCTTTTCCCATATATTTTTGCTTGTTAGTGTATTTCTTATACTGATTTCATATTATTTCTTTCCTTTCTGTGAAATGGTTGGTTTTGTTTTTGTTTTGTTTTTTAACTTGGGACCACCAAGTTGTAAAGATAAATGTTTTTACCTGACAGTTATACCACAGGTAGACTGTCCAGTAAGTTGAGAAGAGTTAATTGATAGTTGATATACTTGTTTTTAAAATTAAATTAATCCTGGATAAGAGCTGCTTTTTTTAGAAGTTAGTTCGTGGAAAAACAACAACAACAAAAAAAAACCCCTATGTGACAGTTCTATTATATCTCATGGGGTCTCTATGAGTCAAACTTGACTCTATAGTACACAATAATAACAATTTTCATCTTAAGCAATCTTAGCTGTACCAGAAATTGTTATTTAACAGTAAGGAAGAAATGTCATTAATTACAATCTAGTTTTCTTCTAAGTCATCTCTATCATTGAAATCAGAACAGTAGTGGATTAGTTTTTTATATGCAAAACCTTTTACCTATCTTAATTAATGGAAACATCACCTCTTACCTTAACTGGGAAGCTACATTTTCCAGTACGAACCCCTTCTTCATCTGTCTGCCACTGATGGGGACGACTGGCCTCTGGAACATAAACATCTTTCTTTCTCCTAAAACTCTGCCGTAGTTTGTTCATTTTAATTTTTATAACCTGCAAACAGAAAAAAGAAATATGAAAGATATTCACATATAAAAACTTCATATTACTATACTAATAAAAAACTACTGTCTCAAATGAAAGATTTTGGCTTATAAAAAAGTAACCAATAAGAACACTTCCTTTTGAATAACACTAAGCTCAAGCAAACAATAAGTTAACTGTTTGAGAAGAGAACTTTAATACTAGTCCTTGAAAAAGAACAATAACTTCTAGTAGGATTTATAGACACATTACTCTATGAAATAGGAGTCATGGTGGCATAGTGGCTTAAGCATTAAACTGTGCAGCCCAATGTCAACAGTTCAGTAGACAAGGCTGTGTGTGCAGTAAAGGTGCACAGACATGGAGACTTTATGAAGTCGTCTTACTCTGTGTTACAGGGTTGCTATGAGGAAGAGTCAACTAGATGACAATGGCTTTGTTTTTGTTTTTGGATTCTAGGACCTTTCAAGCATGTTAATTGTAATAATTCTAAGTATTTGTAATAATATAACAAGAATCCCACTGATCTATGCCTCAAACCCATTCTGACTCTTCAACGCAGAAATTTGTACTTCTAGGCCAAATTATAGACTGCCAACAATTCCTAAAGCATTCAGAAAACTTGGAAAAAAATCATTCTCAAATACTAAAATTTGGAGGTCTTTTTAGTTTACTATTATAATGCATTAAGCAAAACAGGGACTACAATCACCTTTTTATAAAATATGTTTTATAAAGAGGATAAAGTTTCTTTTAAACATACTTATAATTGTTTTTCAAAAGTTCTATTAAGACTAAATTAATCTAAGACCTCTGCTAAGACATTAAACTAGGCAGACATGCTCACTACAAGGACCCTCTAGAACAAAGATACGAAACACCAAATGAAACAGACACAGATGAAAATTCTGGAACCCTGAGCTTTAGGGGAATGGTTAGCATTGGAATGAGTGCTTGGAGGGAGGAGAAGCTCAGCAGGGACAAAGAGAGAGATGAATGCCTGGCCAGATGAGGTGTGACTATCATGAATTTTTGTGTGAGCAGTTTTGGCAATAGAAGGTGGCCTGGCAGAGCAGATTAACACAGACAATGGGAAAGGTGTGATTTTATAATCATTTTTCTGAATTCCATTTTAGGCATTTCCAGGGCCTGCCCTCCTTCTAGAATGGAGTCCAGGTCTACTTCTAGGCCATCTGTCTCAGACATTTTATCTTTTTTCTGGACATCTGCTGATATGGTCATCTGCTTTTGCTTCTTGGACATG